TTTAGGTTCAATGTTGCCACTTTTCTGCCTTTGCAATTTTCCCACATTACACTACTACGAATTTATGGAATAAGTTAACTTGTTAGTCCTGATTTTAAATATTTTGGAAATTGTAATAAAATCTATGTTTCAACCTTTATGCAAAGGAATTAATTATTCTTATTTTAGAATATAAAAAAATAGGTAATAAAATATATTAATTATATTTTATTACCTATTTTATATTAATAATTTTGCAGGGTACTAAGTTAAACAGGGTTAAGTGGGTGGAAATAATACGATTGTTGAGAAAGGAGACTCACTAGGCGCCTTCGAAATCTACTCTCATTAGTTCTAAGTACTTCCGGGATAAAGACAAACTAGGACCAAAAAGCGATGGCGACCGTGTTTATTTATGCGGATTAGTACGACAGATTAACACCATTTAGTATTATCGTAAAATTTATTAATAATCACAGTTGTTGTAGCTAATGTCATGAGACCAAATTTAGGAGAAAAAGACGTGCTGATGCTTTCACAATTGATGCATATTTCAAACTCAGATCTCCTTGGTTAAGAAACCCAAAATTGATTTTGTTACTTGATTTATTTTTTTGTTTGATTTATCAGTACAAAAAAAGATACTTCGAAAAAAATATCTTTCATTTCATCAGTTATACTTCTATTCATCGGATAAGCAAAGAAACATATTTAAAATAAAAACAAATAACTGCAGCTTTAAAAAAAACTCTTTTTTATTGCTTATTTTGGGTGAAATTTCATATGGTAGGCAATACCAACCCGTCACTGCATGTTTGTGTGTCTATCTTTATCTAATCTTAGCGACGATATTGTTTTCGCGACTTGTGTAAGTGAGACGGATATATGTTTATTAAAAAAGGTTCGGTGGTTTCAAAGATACGTCCTCGCGGTTAGATAGTGGCTTCACTTTTTTCGACGCGCGGTAGTGTGGTTTGCTCCTCTAGTCTTGTATAACTCAATGAAATTTTATCCTACATGCCGTCACACTTGCTATTGCGCTATGAAAGTAAGTGGGTATGAAAAATAATTCATTAAATTAATAATAGACGTCAGTTACTATACTACGTACTTCTTCTTCTTTGATTTTAAATCGATTCTAAAATGTTGTAAATGTATTTTAAGCTGGTTATAGAAGATTAACGAGTATGTATGTTCTGTTTTACACTCAAGGACATTCATTCATCGTTTTAATTAAGTATCTACGTATCTACCTAGTATGTACCTACATCAGAATTAATAGACTTATAGAAATTATCTGTAGACACTAACGACTAAAATATACCTATTTATTATTTACCAAAATCTCAACTACGATAACTTCACAAGTCCGCATAGAAAACAAATGATAACAATCACACTCACCTAGAAATAAAATTAAATATGAAACTAAAACTCGTTGATATAAGTACCCGAGTTAGAACGACCGACAACTTGATTGATTTCCATGTTCCTGTACCACATGTTGGCTGTAATTACTGAATTGACAGTTGCATTGAAATGAAATGTGTATCTTTATTTATGCGTCGTGAGAAAAAAAGCTTCGTTTTTATCAAATGTTTTTTAAAAACTTTTTGTAATTAGCAAAAGATGGTTTTATACGATAAGTAGCGATCGGCCCCGGCCTTGCACGGGTGATTTAATTTCTGAATCTCGACAACAGCGCCACCTACCATTTCCAATTATGAATCAAAACCATTCCCGAATCAGCTTAATCCACAAAATTTTATCAAAATCGGTCCAGCCGTTTAGGAGTTCAGTCACACACACGGATTGAAGAATTATATATACCTCGGAAGTACATGAGTATCTCGGCGATCCATGAGAACGTTAACTTTTACAAATGAGAATAGTGTTAGACCGGATGTTCTACTTTTTCTCCTGCTTACGCAGTTAGGGCATCCACGACTTTTTTCTGCCACCAGGGCGACGCCACTTGGAAGTGAGGTGTAATATTTGACAGATTTCATAGGGGGAAGTTAATCTTTTCGGAAAATGTAAAAGTTATTGTTTCTTTTTGTACTATTAGCTATATTTGATATTAATAACATTAAAATAAATAAACTAAACCACAGATATTTATAAAAGTAGAAAATAAAAAATACAATATAAAGAATAAAAATTAAAAAAGTGCAAGAAATTAAAGAGCAAACCACTGTCGCATTGTTTTGTGTATTAACATAATACTCTAGAAACTGATAAACTTTTACTAAAAACAACTTCTTAATTAAATTACATTGTGTAACAAAAAAACTTTACCTTAGTGTCAACAAGCGACAACTAGTGAGCAGAAAATGATTAGCCCTCATTATTCATTATCAGCAATAAAACAGCGTACTGCACTATACAAGTATAAAATAATCACAGTTCGACTATACCGTAGTACGCCCCGTCACAAATACACAATAGTGTAACGTGAGGGACGTGATTACATGATAACACCAAATTATGCAAATCAACACTACCCATTTTATTGAAGGGGTTTCTCAATATACCCTCAATTCTATCGCGCCACTATCGATATGACACCGATCCATCCGGTATTTTACAAACGCGCCGAAATATTATATAAAGATTAAACTGTTAAAGGATAAATGCCAACCCTTGATAAGGAGGTGTTCGCAATCATGCTGTCTGTAAATCTAATTGTACACCATATTATATCCAAATTCCTAAATTAATATTAAAAAGTTCCGCTGGGTTTCTTGCTAGTTATTCTCAGAACAGTTGATTTTTCCGTAGCAGACGTAAAAGTATAAATAAATTTCAATTAGTATATATCTTTAATGAATGTTCTATTCCAGGGTTCCTCAAACGTATAGCCACACTAAGGGCAGCCACATACATACGGAATTTCGAACGGGTCGATCATACACATATGGAATCCCGTTTCGCCCACAAAATTTCGAACGGAAAACTACCGTACGTGTGTGACGGCTCATAGTTTATATATGGACTTGCTGTGTTCGGAATTCCAAATCGGAATATCAAAACGGAATTCCGTATGTATGTGGCGGGCCTTACTCCTATTGATGTTCTCAGACAACGAATCCCTAACCCCAAAAGAAAAGAAAATCTAGCTTTAGAAGAAAATACGGTTTTTTATTATAATAACTTTTATTAAATAAAAGTTAACAAATACAGTGTCAAAAAGAAGTATAAGTTTTTTGAAGTTATGCTTCTTTTGGCGCGTTTGAGAAAAATGATGAGTGTATTTTTTGCGATGCGCGCGCACACCGACATCTAAAAACGACACCTAGAATTTGTTACGTTGCGCTAGGACAGTGAAACCTCCCCCCCGAACGGGTTCCCGCCTTGTCGTGGCGGGGGGGCTTAGTAGCCGTGGCTTGGTCAACCACGGTGAACAAAGAGGAACCCCTTGGCTGGCCCGTGGTGTAGGGCCGGCCCGAGGTGGCCACTCCGAGTGGGCTTTGGAAGCCCGCTTCGGATGTGTGTCGGTGGGATGCTGCGAGAGGGGTGTCCGCTCCCTCTATCGCTGCAGCCGAGGTGGAGTCGCGGAGGAGGAGGCGTGCTGGTATGGCGATGCGCCACTCGCCCTATCCTCCGCGACTCAGACGGGGCCGCACCGTTGAGTGATGCGGTGGTGGTGGGGCTGCGGGGGGAGAGGAGTGTCGGTATTGCGAGGCGCCGCTCTCCCTACCCTCCGCAGCCGAATCTCAGTTGGCGGCGGAGCCATAGACCAGATCCGCCGCTGGGGCCAGGAAGGCCAGTGCTTCTGAGTGCTAGTTTTTCCTGGCCCCATGGCCTTCGCGCATCGGTCACGGGGGCGTCTGTTGCGCATTGGAAATTGGAGGCCGAGGAGGAGGGCGCGCCATGTGTTCTGGTGCGCCTTACCTGAGAGGGAGATGGGGGAGGAGCAGTCCTCTCCAGAGGAGGGGCCGCCATGGGGCGGCCAGCGCAGGTGGGGCCGCGGAAGTGTGCGAAAGCGTTCCCGTGGCCCTGCCAATATGCGACGAGTGTGGAACACCATGGGGTTTTAGTCGGTGCGAGTCCGACATAACCCGTCCTTGCCCCCGCGAGGCGGGTATGCGTAGGCATTTCCCCATGTAAAAAAAAAAAAAAAAAAAAAAAAAAAAAAAAAAAAAAAAAAAAAAAAAAAAAGGACAGTGAAACCTAAAAGCGACAACTTCAGTTGGTAATTGTCTGTCTATATTCAAGGTAGTGTGTAGTGTAGGTAAACATACACGTTTTTTTAAGTTTCGATTTCGTTGTAACGGTAAAGGTGTGAAAACCTTTTACCCTTCGCAATAACATACGTATGTTACAATAAAAGGAAATTCACCGCTTTGCGTGAAAGTTCAGGATATTCTTCCTGTTTACTTGCTCAAAAAATTAATTAAAGACATTATTTTTAATCAGCTTGAAGAGTCATTTGCATAGATAAATAAATATGTAGCAAGCAAGCAAGTCATTTGTGGACTTTTCTAGTAATGACTCCTGTTGCTTAGTACTTAAATGAGATTTTATGCTCTCGGTAGTGACCATAAATGGATTTCGAATCCATCCTTCAATATTATCAATATCTAGAATAGAATCTATTCTATAGACCATTGAAGATTCACGTAGGTAATAAATTTAATATGTTATAAAGTTTTATCTTTATTCTCTTATGGTATTGTAGTTTACAGAGATTATTGTCTGTGTTATAGATATCACATATTTCACAGTATGTTTAAATGTAAAATAAATTATAATAGAATGTAAATTATGGGAGTTTAATTTCTTATGATGGAAACACTTGACTTATTTGTCAAAAAGCTTGACCTAAAAATAAAAGCAAAGCACCAAAGCAGAAAGATGGCGAAATTGTAGTTATGTGGTTGTTTGTGACTCCCTAATATTGTTATCTTCCTAATGTTGATTTATGTTGTAAAAACACTTGGGTGCAATTATAATAATATTGTAAGTTAGAATAGAATATTGAATTTCTATCAACAAAATATTTTGTTTTACATATCAAAATGGACGTAATTAACATCGGTGAAATAAAAGATGGCGACCAACCGAGGCCCCTTTTAATTATGGAGGCGCCACCTATACTTGAAGTGTGTAAACAAAAATTTGAAGGCAATAAAAAGAAGAGGAGGCGCGGGAAATCTAAACGAAAAATAATGAAACCATTTCCCAAAATCCCTTGGCAAGAACGGAGAAAGAACGACCAAACTAAAAGGAATAATAGATTTCGTAAAATAGTATTGGCTAAAACACACGCACCTTTTAACAACAATCAGTTTCTAATGGAAATTCATAAACCGGTACCTGAAGATAATTTCCATAATTTAAGAACACCATCTGCACGCACTCGCGATTCCAGTTTTAGCGTTGATTCCGAAGATAATTATTTTTATTCATTACCAGAAGATGAAGAAGAGTACTTGACAAAGGAATTTTCAAGTGTTTATGAAGATGCACAAAGTGAACGTTTATCCAATATGTCGAAAAACGAGCTAATTGAAGAATATCTCTTACTTGAAGCAAAATATGATAATCTTGTAAAAAGAACCGAACGTTCTAAGGCAAAAGAAGTGGAGTCGGAAAATGCTAACATAACGGATAAAGACACATCTATTACAGACAAGGACAGCATGCTCACTGATCCAGACACATCTGAAGCTTCAATTGCCTCTGGTTCCATGGATGGGTCTTCAGTTGCGGATTTAATGCAACGCCTTAAAGAACAGGAAGGACAAATTCGTGAACTTCAGGTGGCAAATGAAAAGTTAAGGTTGGAGAATGAACATTTGCGTCAACACTCGCAAGATTCTAGTGAAGATTCTGAAACTGATAGTTCATCCAGTTCAGATAGTGACAGTAGCTCAAGCCACAGTGATAGCCCTGGCTCCGAGTTACCCATTACTGATTGTGAAAATTTACCAGTTGAAAATGAAGATCAAACAAATGGTGTCCAAGAAGTAACTGAAGACTTGCAGTCTACTCACCCAGTTGTCAATGGTTTCCATAGTCCAAGTGAATAGTAATAATGACTGCGAATAGTGCTGTACCTACTAGAAACTTGAAACTTGTAACAGTATTTAGAGAATAGAGTTCTATGTTATTGGGACATTATGGAGCATAATATTTAATGAACTATTAGTGCTTGCCTAAAAAATTTAGTGACTTGTACACATTTTGGACAGTTTTATTACTGTAATAATGTAATTGTGAGATCACATAAATTAGGATAAGTGGATTTTCTGTGATGTTCTTGTGGATATTTTATCAGCAGTAATATTAAAGTTTATTAAATATGTATATATTCCAAAAAAGATCTCACTTTTATATTTATACAGTTTACTTTAAAGAAAGTTCAAAAGAGTTATAAGTCATTATTTGATAGTTTATGGTTGTTTGTTGAAATATTTTAATTTTAATTATGAAACCAAATTGAAGGTGTCAAGTTATTTTGTAAGAACCTAATGTAAGTATATTAAAATTAGAATAACAAAGGTCTGTTAAATTTCTTAATTTTTATTGTATTTCTTTTAATGTAATTTTATGTAATCACACTTATTTATAATTAATGGCATAGACTATGAGGGTCTGCATTCCCTTACACAGTAAATATTTTAATTATATTTGGTAGTATGAGAAAATGTGAAACAAATGTGAGGGTTCATTCTTCCTTCAGGAGTCAGTCATTGATGCAAGCACTGTACAAATATAAACACATGATTTAATTTTGTTGAAGCAAACCATATTACGTAGTGTTCTGCACTCTTATTTATATTTAGCCAGCACTACGTTTATACAACTTTAACGTTACAAAAGGGTTTTTGTGATGTTTTGTTTTAATTAAAAGAAGTACTAGACTTATAATTAAATGTATGAATTAAGTAAATTTTAATGCCCAGTACCATAATTGCTTATTGATTTTAATTTTTGCATCATTTCACACATTCCATCTGTTATATATAACTTTTTTTTTATAATGAAAATTTGAGCCTGCTGATAAATATTGACAATATTCATATTTAACAGAATAACAGGTGTTTGTCATGTGGAAACAATCTCTATAAATATATGTACATAATATAATATACTTATTAAAATGTAATTTACAGAAGTCTCTCAAAATGGTTATTGATGCAAATTTGGATGTACATAATTTTGTATTATTAGATATTTAATTTTTCTGCATTGTGTCATCATAAGAGAATCAACCTGGTTTGCCTTGTGGGTTTAGTAAGATGTGACTTTGGAAAATCAGCTGAAGCATGGTCTCAAATAGATCGCAGTATACAGTCTTGTTTATGCCTGATTTAAAATATTCAAACTAGTGAATGTAGCCAAAGTTGTAAGACTGAAATCACCAAACCCACCCCAACCAAGAATGGCGATTGTGGCCAATTTTATCTATAATTGTAGAGGCCCACACAGCAGTAAATGGTTACATGCTTTTATAGATCTTTATTTATGTAAAATTTTAAAGTCTCTCTGTAAGATTTAAAGATTAAAATATTACACTCAATATATAAATATTGGCTGTTTTACTACCTGAACAATTAACATTTGAAATTTGCATTCCACTCGTGTCCGCCCGCTGACTTTGTAAAGGTCACCGTTGCCCCACTCCCGTGTGCGTCGCTCGGCAGAGGGCGTGGGCGCAGAACGCGAGTGCAAAGTCAGTAGATTGGGTGCAGCGACCCCGTCGCAACGTAACGCATTTGTGGTGACCGTGGCAGCGATTTCGTGCGACCAGTTTTGGTTTTACCAGGTCTAGATTTTCAGTATTTGTGCGCGTTACTTCGCTACTTAAATTGTGTTTCGTGAAGACCGTCTCGGATTCGGTTGTCTAAGCTAGACTGTGAGTCTACTCGAGCCGAGTGGTTACGTACATAATAACCTGATCGCGTCGATTTTGTTAGCAAATTTATGCAACGACGAGAAATTGTGTAGTCTAGAACATTAGACGCCGGGTTGACTAATTGTTGGGAAGTTAATGTTTAATTGTACCGTCGCGTTAAGTGCTTAAAAAGGTCGCGTTCGGTTCTCGAAATAATTTGTTGCTGAGTGAACGGAAGTGAACTTTGACCCACCGCTCCTCAATCGTGCCGCGTGTTACGTTTTTGATTATAATTAACGGGATTTAGTTGAGTTGTGAACGTCAAGTGCTAAACTTTGTGACCCGCGAGAACCAGCGTTCGTATTAGATTATAGATTTGTGCTAATGGACGCTAGACTTTGAGTGACACCGAGTGACGCCGCTGGAGTGATACCACATAGGATAGCGGTGCTGGAGTCAGGGTTGCTGCTGATTAAAAGGGGCTAATTCAGGTTAAACATATATACACTTCTCACACACTACTTACATGTACCTACTTAACGCCTGAACGAGCCTTGGGACAGTCTTTGCCTCTAAACAGGTACGTATTATTTATTCACCTAGCTTTATCACTGTCGTGTAAGTCAACTCTCCATAAGGCCATTCGGGCCCGAACCCTCGGCTGTCCGTCGATGAGGCTACTATGGGCCCTAGCCAAGGCGACCTTTGCAGGGGCAACTATGGGCTGTAACACTACCTATATACTATTTTATTTATAAAATAAAATGTAATTTTTATTGCTACACCTAATATTTTCAAGGAGAGGAAGAGTCCTACCAGACTTCTTCAGCCTAGGAGTCTGTTTAGGTGGGTACAGTCAGCGTCATAAAGAAGGTAGCAGTCAAGGTGTTGTTTTTTTTTTAAACAAAAATGAATAATTAATTCGACCATTTAGAGTAGGCAAATTATATAGATCACCAATCTTATTCAAATATGTCGGAACATGCACACCAACAAATATATGGTTCCAATTAAACGTTATTATAGCTACAAACAAAACGTTAATGGTATCGAAGCGGTTAAAGTACTCAAAAGTAAAAGTGCGGAACACAACAGGATAAATAACTTCATCTTATTATATGTAATAGGGTGCGCTAAGATTTATAATAAAATTATAATTCACATTATATTCCAAGAGATTGCAATACGGCAAAGTGGGATACCGTAATTCATCGGGATCCAGCATAATATTAGGAACTGCGTGATCCCGCAACAGCTTGCGGATGCGTAAGCATCAAATCCCACAAATTCAATAAAATTTGAAAACTAAACATTGTATAATAATAGGTTAGTCACGTCAACTCAACATAACAGAGTTATTACCTAAAGCACCCACATCACAAAATACGGAAGAAATCCCTAATAAGAAAAGTAGAAAAACTATTACTGGCTATTTCGTGAAGGAAACTTCTATGGTAAAAACCGGCCAAGTGCGTGTCGGGCCACGCACAGTGTAGAGGAAGGTTTTCGTTGTTGCCCGTCACAGTAGTGAACTTAGAAAGGGCCTTCTTGATATTTAGATTGTGAGCGTATAAAGTCCGTGGTTTGACTGCTATAGCGTTTAGCGACTAAAATATTTCCCTATCTTAGTATGCTAGTAGTAGTATGGTATCTATTAGTGCCTGAAAGTGCAACCCTAAGATATACATAAAAATAAATATATACGTTTAAATAGACTAAATCTAGTCCAGTTTAATCCTCAGAAGAAGTTTGTGAAGCAAGTTTGCGCGTTTACCGCTAAAAAGAACCCCTTTGTCGTATCTCCTCAGTTTCAAGGCACTCCCCTTCTCGCCTCAGCCAGTATCGGAATCCTCGGAGTCGACATAACGAGTGACGTGCAATTTCGTGGTCACTTGGAAGAGAAGGCCAAATTGGCCTCTAAAAAGCTTGACGTGCTCAGCAGAGCGGGACAGTATTTCATGCCGGCACACCGCCTGCAACTTTACAAGGCGCAGGTTCAGCCTCACATGGAATACTGTTCCCATCTCTGGGCAGGGGCTCCCCAGTGCCAGCTCCTTCCACTTGACCGCATCCAGCGCAGAGCGGCTCGAATCGTCGACGACCGAGTCCTCCCTGATCGGCTCGATTCATTGGCACTGCGAAGAGATGTTGCATCCCTTTGCATTTTCTTTCGAATTTACCACGGGGAGTGCTCTGAGGAATTGTTCGGGTTAATCCCAGCCGTCAAATTTCACCAACGCACATCGCGGCAGAACTCCCGATACCATCCACACCATCTGGATGATTGGCGGTCCACCACTGTGCAATTTAGAAGATGTTTTCTTCCTCGCACGACTTCCTTGTGGAATCGATTACCATCATTTTTTTCGGACCGATACGACATAGGGACCTTCAAGAAAAGAGCCTACTCCTTTTTAAAAGGCCGGCAACGCATCTACGATTCCCCTGGTGTTGCAGTTGTTCATGGGCGGCGGTAGTCACTTACCATCAGGTGAGCCGCATGCTCGTTTGCCCCCTCTCCTATAAAAAAATATACATAACAAACCTTTCCGTAAACCACCACTGCTCTAAACTATTCTGATTGAGGGTCACCCGCATAAACCAAGAGTACCACGAATGAAACTGTATGGGATTGTATGAAAGTATGAATACTGTGTGTGTGAATGAGGCCTACAATAACAACCAACTTAAAAATAAGCCAAAGTGGTATGTCAAGATCGGCCTATTGACGATCGATCCTCTCTGACTACCCCGCAAAGGGAAAATTAAAGCTATAGTAAAGTATAAACTTTACGCTTAAAGCGTGTCACACACTATGCAGATACGATAATAGTTTATCTGCGTATAAAAACTTTTTTATTTGAAAGTATCACACACTACACAGATACGATAACATAAGAAATTATACATTCACTCGAAATCCTTCAAACGTCGTTAGAATAGGATTCAGATTTTGAAAAATTAAAAACCGACTTCAAATTGCTAAAAAAGAAGTTATATATTTGCTACCTTTAGGGGTGGAATTTTTTCTCCAAATTTATATGGGGAAATATAATCTATTTAATAAAAAAGAATAATCGAAATTGATTCACAATCTGCGAAGATATCACGTAACATAAAAAACATACACTCGAATAGAACCTCCTCCCTTTTGAAGTCGGTTAAAAGGGAAAAATTTGGATAGAACGTCAA